GAGGTACGATTCTATGTTTCCTAGAGTGAATAAAAAGTATACAATAAATAGTCACCTACCCATTTTCAGCATATATCGTGTTAGGAGTATGGCATACTTGACAAGAGAATGAACTCTGAATGAATTAATGCTCCGAATTCAGTAGAAGAAATGTCACCTGACTGTCTTGGTTACACTGGATTAGTGTACGAAACCACTTTGGTATGTCTCATTTCGAACTAATTAGATGTCCAAGGGGAGGAAGAGGAAACCTTTTATGGTATGCGGAATAGGTCATCTGTGGTGTTCATGTGGAATATAGTTTGAATTCGTTCACATCTTGCTCTTACCTGGTACTCTTCAGGGGTAGTTTCCAATCGCCATCTAACAGGGACCGCATATAGATTATTAAATATCGAATGGTTTAATAATCCTTTACATAGACATTATTACAACACCTTTCCCTGCATATATATCCTACGTAAGCGAAAAACTGTAAATATTCTCACTTCGTGTATACGTTACTTATCATATTGATGATGCCTGTAGAATTGAAACCCTAATAAAGTTAGAATATATTACCGCTATTATTACTCACCCCACAGTCTTCAAAATGTAGATATCAAGTTCATTAGTTACCCTGAAAAATTTCGGATTTCAGACTAAGAACCTAGCTTTGTGTTTTTATGTGTTCAGTGAGGAAGAATTTCCCAAGCCGATTCTATACACTGTTCAGAACTTCCGAAAAATATTAATTATAAGCCAAGTTTCATTAAATGTCAGTGTCCAGCTCTTGCTACGGTGGACCTCACGCTGTCCCTCGAAGACTTTCAGAAACGTGAAAAACAGAAACATTTGTTCTTACGCCAACATGTTACCAACAATAATGTTATTACTCAAAGTCTAAGAATAAATGTTATCACAATAAATCACGATATTGCTTCTGATAGTTTTTAATCTTCTTCTGAACAGCGAACGATGAGATGATGACTGGTGCATAGATGTCTCCGAGAAAATATAGGGAAGTTGGATTTGAGCAAACAACCATGAATTGATCGTTCAATCTTCAACTACATTGACACTCCCCGTCAAAACACGGATCCATACCTTTTTTCCATCACGACCAATACACGTTGACTTGGATGCCATTGCGAGAACCTGGGTCACACGGACAGAGCTGAAATGGAAAACAAACAGAAAAGCCAACAGACCACAGGCATAACCACAGCACAATCACACTCATCGATGGCGACATAGGACTTCCAGTTAAAGGCATCCTCTTGACACATCCTCTTGCAACACAATCGCCACTTGCCAGAATGACTCTTGCAGAACGCAACGTGACCATGGCAGCACCTCACGATACTCTACGCACATCCTCTTCTCTACTCACTACCAATTACCACTGCAATCGCTTGTCACTCATTCTGCCTCAGTTCTAGTAACGGTGACGTATGCAAACCTCAGTCGTCCACAACCTCGCTCCCCGACGTGTGGGACCGCAGCCAACAATTATCTCCATATGCATTTCATTCTCAGAAATAGCCTCCCTGGCGTATACGACCCACCTGCTGTCTCTAACATCAATCAATTCATTCACGAATGTAGAAGACTAGAAACAACTTCAGAAGTAATCACGACGAAAATTTTAACAAAATTACGCAATAACAACAAGGTACGAAAACAACGAGCAAACACGATGGATCCGAAATCACAAATTGATAAGACACATCACACGTATACACAAACAGTACAAATGACCTCACGGATCATGTCTTGATGGAATTCCCTTGAAGAATTGCAGGACTTACATCAGCACGCCTGCAACCCTTCTCAGGTTGACGATTGTAAGTTGTGGAATGTCCGGACACAATCAAGACTAACCAACAATTACAATAATTGGAACCCACTCAATTAATTTACACAAACAAATGTACAATCAATACATCAAATGGGGTGGATTCTGGCACGACAAACTACCCTTGAAGAACTGTAGGACTTACAGCAGTACGCCTACAACCCTACTCAGGTTGATGCCCTAGGTTGGAAAATCGTCGCAGAGTTCATTTGCTGACTTCTGTCTATCAGCTATATCCTCAAATCTGAACGGCAACACGCCCATGTCATTGTATCGTAGAATATAGATGACCAACAAACACATGACATATCTCATCAACCAAGTAAAGAGACAGAGTAATTTACACCAAAGATAATAACATTCAAATAGTAACTTGAAACTAGAAACGCCTTTATTCGTGCAAGTCAATTTAACAATAACTCTCTCCTTTACACTTGGCTTATCCACACTAAACTGACCATTGATATTCGTCCTTTCAAACGAACTGATACTATCATAGTCATTGTACAAGACACTGGAGTTGACGGGCGTCCTTCTCATTGTGGATGACAACACCAACGACAACTGATTAATACCAGTTGATGAACTTAGCGGTGGATCAGAAGCTGTTATTGCTCGGCTTTCAGATAATTGTCTAACTGTTAGACCACCACCACTGCTGTCTTTCACTATTAGTTCGGATTTAGCACTATCATCTGATGATAGATGGGCTACGCGCTGAACAATTAAACTGACGGTCTCACAAGTATACATACCTTCTGCAACCGCATCTGCCTTTAATCCCACTTCACATTTAAGTTGTACAGAACCTCTGTTCAACTCAGTAGAACTAGGCATTCCGCACATTTCATCATGATCAGCCAAAGACAAATGTACACTATCATGACCATTGTTACAAATATCCACTTTGCCGTCGTCTATCTGGTCGACTTCATCATTTTCGAACTCTTGAATAACAGCAGTGGATGATTTGGGTTCTTCTTCCCAAATCCTTAAAGTTTTTTACCTTTACTTTGACTAGTAATACCTTCAGAACTTGTGAAGTCAGAACTGGACTCTGAAACTGTAACTCTTTTCTCCTGCACAAACTGCGGTTTCGTCTGCGACTCTCCATTCAACATTAGCTTACCAGTTGCAACTACAGACTTCTTCAACGCACCACTATCGTCACACAATTCGTAGTCGGACCTTGATGACGCTGATTTCATATTAAGCTCACTACTAAACTTGCCCACTTATTCACAGTTCACCTTTGTATGCGCTTCTTGCAAACGTGTAAAACACAGCTGTGTTTGTCTCGCAACTTGTAACCTACCTGTTGGGGATGTCCCACGAAAACTGTTACACTCACTAAGTTTATATGGATTACTAGACACCATAGAGCCTTCTCAATATCCGCTTCTCTCAGACCCTTCCGTCGTAAATGATTGCGTTTTGCTCTCAGTCTGCTCTGTTCTAGGGGTGGGATGCGATATACTGGCAAACTTGCTCATAGCTTGATTAACACTATCTTTTACCAGTTTCAAAATATCATCAAACTTTGGCTTAATACCTTCATGCCATATACGAGAGCTTATCTTCAACCACTTCCTTTGCAGTCGAGTCGGTAGGCGTCTCGCTATTACCTCTAGGACGGAACTTGAGTTCAGATCACTGATGCAATTCATCGAAATCAACGTATTCTTGTAAGTCACCAGATTATCCAAAAACTGGGAGAGTGCCTTGAAATCATCTTGTAATTGACTACTATTACCTTTAACAGCCTCGAATACGTTCCTTACAATCATCGAAGGTTTTCTGAGTCTTTGACGCAGTATGCTCATAGCCTCAGAGTATCCTTCGTTAGGGGGCATGACCTTATAGCACTGTATAGCTCTTGAAGCAACTCCAGTGCAGTGTCTCATCAAATACATCAACCTCATTCCGTCATTCAATAAAAAAAACTACTCAATATGATTTCAAACACCTTTACAAACTGTAAATAGTCAGCTGGGTTTCCGTCGAAGCACCGAGGATCATATTCAGGCAGTTTAAAATTCCTATCATCCCCAGATGGCGAAAGATGAACAACGGACTCATCATGCTGAGCATCATACATATCATTACAACTAACAAGCAACTCAGCATCACTTACTTTCCTGCTCGCTTCTAAGACGCTTCGTCCCTTCTTTGACTCAGGCACGATTGAACTTGACCAAATTTCCAGAAAAGTTCCAGATAATACTTGTCCAAAGAAGACTAGCAGGCACCAGGAAAGACGAACGGAAACTATCCAAACACTATCAGAAACTGTCAGCCAAGTTTCAGAAACTGTCAGTGTCCAGCTCTTGCTACGGTGGACCTCACGCTGTCCCTCGAAGACTTTCAGAAACGCGAAAAACAGAAACATTTGTTCTTACGCCAACATGTTACCAACAATAATGTTATTACTCAAAGTCTAAGAATAAATGTTATCACAATAAATCACGATATTGCTTCTGATAGTTTTTAATCTTCTTCTGAACAGCGAACGATGAGATGATGACTGGTGCATAGATGTCTCCGAGAAAATATAGGGAAGTTGGATTTGAGCAAACAACCATGAATTGATCGTTCAATCTCCAACTACATCGACAAGAATCTTCGTAAAACATTTATCTTCTTTTTTAATATTTAATATCACCTAATATGTGATACAAGATGGCATGTCATTTACGCAAATGACACAAAACAGATGGACTTTGAGTCAGTGACCAAATAAGCGAGAAGGAGTCAAGCTGATACGGTTGTCGGTCATTGCAAATATAATCCCTCATCCACCGCTACTTTTCACATTATCAGTCACGGCTATCTCCTGTAGGAGCAGCTGTTGCTCTGCTGTGCGGATCCACCCACGCCACGCAACATGAAAACGGATGTTTTAGAATCTAACAGGCAGTAAACCAAATGTGGGATTGCGTAGAACTGCATTTTCGGATAAATAGATACGAAATCATTAGAGCACTTGTAATTTCTATATTCTTGTAGTGACTAAACCAAAGATAGTCGGCTATCAATGAAAGTAATGTATTAATTATTTATCAAGTACAGAGATGTTTATTGCAACCAGAGGTTTAATTTTCTCTAAAGGAATCACTTGGAAAATTCAGTGTACTTTAGACAAAGCATTCACATGCCTAAACACCTGGCTACTAATAACAGATATCTATGTATGACCTTCACAATGTATTATAATGGATTTCAAGACGAAACAAAGCAAATAAAATCAAACAAACAAGTATTAATAAGTGACTTTTGGGCAATATATGACTTGCCATTGCCACTACAAATAGTACATTGGACCTTCGAGAGGCTTCCTTGACCTTGGTTGCTATCGTGTAAAGCTTTCGAAACAGAGCGTGGTGATTGAGCAATGGCTTCTATATCCATCTTGAACCCTAAAGCGGAGTTCGCGAAATCCCAGCATGCATTCAGTATCAATTTGGCTGCAGCCAGGGGCTTGTACGATGTTTTAAAGACCAATTTAGGACCTAAAGGAACTATGAAAATGTAAGTTCAACATTCTAAGTTGAGATACTTAGGCTCGTCTCCGGTGCCGGTGATATTAAGATAACCAAAGACGGCAATGTTTTGCTTCATGAAATGCAAATCCAGCACCCTACTGCCAGCCTGATTGCGCGTGTAGCTACTGCTCAGGATGATATGACCGGTGATGGCACTACGTCTAATGTCCTCTTGATTGCTGAATTGCTCAAACAAGCTGATGTACATACATCTGAAGGCCTTCATCCACGTTTCATAACAGAGGGCTTCGATATGGCTCGAAACAAATGCTTAGAAATATTACCAAAGTGTCAGATAAGCTGCTTCTCGGATCCAGCATCCCCCGGAACTCTGAATAGAGGCATACTTGAGGCTGTTGCAAGAACATCACTAAATACCAAAGTGCATTCTGACTTGGCTAATCTTTTGACTGAGGTATTTCGCAACTTGCCTAAACTACTCTTGTAGCACGTGGTAGATGCAATATTGTCGATTCGTAGTGCGAGTGAACCTTTGGATTTGCATCGCATTGAATTGATGCAGATGCAACATAAGACTGATATGGACTCAATACTTGTCAAGGGAATAGTACTTGACCACGGTGGTAGACATCCAGATATGCCTAAACGGATTACTAATGCATTTATATTGACATGCAATGTGTCATTCGAATATGAAAAAACGTAAGTAAGACTTGCTAATCATTAACAGTTAGTGAGGTGAATTCTGGGTTCTTCTATAAAACAGCAGAAGAACGAGCATCACTCGTGAAGTCTGAGCGGGAGTTCATCGACATGAGAGTGCAGAAGGTGATAGAGTTAAAAAGGAAAGTTTGCGATAAGGAAGGTGGTGGAGACTCCAAGCCCGGATTCGTTATAATTAACCAGAAAGGCATTGATCCCTTCTCACTAGACGCTTTTGCTCGAGAGGGAATACTTGCTCTCCGTCGTGCCAAAAGACGCAACATGGAGAGGATCACACTCGCTTGTGGTGGATATGCTCTGAATTCAGTAGAAGAAATGACACCTGACTGTCTTGGTTATGCTGGATTAGTGTACGAAACCACTCTGGTATGTCTAATTTCAAAATAACTATATTTTCAGGGGGAGGAAAAGTACACCTTTGTCGAGGAGTGCAAAGAACCTCGTTCGGTTACTCTGCTAATGCGTGGACCCAATAAACATACTCTTAATCAAATCAAAGATGCTGTAAATGATGGTCTTCGTGCCATTAAAAATACATTAGAAGACGGTAAGCAGATATCTATTTGGGACTTTCTTTTTTTAAGTTATTAAAGGTCTTAAACTAGTATCAGTCAGCACTGTACCTAACATGTTATTCTCAACTCGTCTTTTCAGATTATAACGCCTGTGTTACTCTAATTTCCGATTTCGATTGTGTATATGGGTTCAGTGACTACTTACATTGTTGCTACAAACATAAACTTCTTAGGAATGAGCACTTTCTTTCATATCCTATTTCGAAAGTCCTTCCAAGCAGATTCTAACGTTTGCGATCAGTTATATTAGTGTGAGGAACGAAGTATGTTCCTCGCTATACTACATGAGACAAAGGCCGTTAAATAGGACTTGTATAAAGACGCAAGTCCTCTGGGCATTTCCTAAGACAATTTCCCTATCACATGTCATCTTGTAGGGTGAAATGTAATCAGTAGTACACTTCATATTGAACTTATCTTTGTTTTTTATCTAACTTTTCATGGCTTCCAGAATGCGTTATCCCTGGCGCAGGGGCTTTTGAACTGGTCGCATATCGCGAGCTTGTTAAGTTCGTTCAAACAGTGAAAGGTCGTGCACGTCTCGGTGTCCAAGCGTTTGCGGATGCTCTACTCGTGATTCCAAAAGTTTTGGCGAGAAATGCTGGTCACGATGCCCAAGAAACTATGGTAAAATTACTCGAGGAATCAGCAAAGGCAGAAGCTCGTTGTCACGGCATTTCGCCAATGGACTTTGTTGGAATTGATCTAACTACTGGGGAAGCGATGATTCCTGCTCAGGTTGGAGTTTACGATAACTTCATTGTAAAAAAGCAAATAATCAATTCTTGGTAAGTGTAAATATTAAATCTGCTTTGTTGCAATAATTATATACACATTTTGACACGAAGCATCTTAAAGGAACATTCAATATCTATTTCTTCTTAAATTGTCTACTTGTGCTTCATAGGATGTGACTTGTCATCAATGACTCTAAATCGACTTTAAGTTTTGTTTCCACATCGGTTTACATTCTCAGCTTTTACCATTTCTCTCCTAATAACCACCAATTTTGCGTTTTTAAAAATATTGGTTGAATAGTAATGATTGGTGTACAAAGTAATTGCTAGGTTCCAAATCAGTTGTGAAGATGTGCCTTATTGGTTTATAGCCATCGGATCCCGGGTTTGAATCCCACCACGCCTAATCCAGCATAGGTAACTATGTATTACCACCAACTCTCTCAAGACAAGTGTGGCTCTCAGCCTAGTACATCCAAAATCTATTCTGGGTAATTGAGCTTAAAGAAATAATCAGTACTACGAATTCCACCGTAAGTTATATAAACCAGATTGACACTACTGGTGCCTCGGTTTCAACATTTGACTTCCTTGCCTTTCAAACCATCTCTACAAATAGCTTTGAGGCATCCCTACAAAGTGAAAAATAGCAAATTATATCAAGCTATTTCGGAGGTAAACCACACCATTCTTAACAATAGGCAAAACGACTAATGTACTCACATATATTTGATTGAAAATAGGGAGAAACCTAACCTGTGTTTTCCCGTTCTCCTTATAAGGCTCTATACTTATGTAAACTTCCGATAATCCATTGAAAAGATTATTGTTCACATCTCTTAGTTGCAGTTATACTGTTTTAGATGGTGACAAACGACTTCTAGATCATTCTGTTGTAAACATAGAGTGATAGTCATCTGCATATTGTGTATTTAATAGTCTTACTGCTCAGTAGAGATATCTACGGAAACTCATCTGGAGTTCATTCGAAGCATCAAAGCTGGGTTACTGTGTCACGGGAAACTAGGGCTTCGGTCGTGTATGCTACCTGTACCTTCTAAAATGGGAATTGTCTTCAAGGATAACCTTTACAATCCTCTAGTAGTTACCTTTCATGTTCTACCTAATACTTGATAGTCTCTGAAAAAATTTTGTTTTTCTGATACCATAGGTCCAAGTTTTTTGCTTCGTTCTGAAAAAGCATGCTTCACCTTAGTAACCTAAGAATTGAGAATGAATTATAGTAAGTGGTCAAAAGTAGCAGGCATCTGATATTTAACCCATGGCTGCCACTGGTATTCAAAACAAGTTCAGTGTATTGGTGACATGTTCATCTAAAACCAGTCAGTCATTTTGATCCTGAAAACATTCCCTGTTCGTTCACAGTTTGCAAGTGCCGTCGAAAGCTAAAAGTCACGTACATCTTCATATTGATTTGTGTGGACAATTTCCACCCTTCCTGATAACTGGTGTGGACTAAAATCAATTTGGTTGAAAAGGAGTTAGATGGGCAGGCCAATAGATGGCTCCACTCCACTAAATTTCTGACCGTTTACTCAATTTATACAAATTGTTTAATTAGAGCCAATAAGCTGCGTTTCTGTAGTTGTATCATACTTTAAATCGTAAATTAAAACCTACAAGCATTTTTGCGATACGCAACCGAACTGTTTGATTCGGTAATGGATGGATGTCTTCGAAGTTAGACTGTATGTTACAATATCCGAGGACGTCATTAGCCATAGTTCTTTTTATCCTGTACTTAAAATGTTCTTCAATCGTTGGATTGCACTCCACTTTTTCGCTGATGAATCTTAGTTCAAAGATATTCGTTACTGGATATATCACCTTGTTTAATTGTTACATCAATGAAAACTTCCGAGTGTACATAATACTGCTTCACAACATAGATGTGCTTCGATCCAAGCTGTCCGGTTTTGTTTCGCGCCACTCTACTTCATGTTAAGTTTTCATTTCTCTGCCGTCTCGATGAGCTAATTGGCTGCAGATATTCGGACCACTAAGGAGTTTGATGTTAATGGTGTTTGTCTACCCTTCTATATCATACCGCACGTTTCACTTAATGGATGGAATGTGATATTTTGGTTCACTCGTTGCAATGTAAATGTGTGTTCTGCATCAATTAGTTTTGTCCTATGAGATATAGCTATTAAGCGTAGGGGTTATAAATAACTATCGCTTTTGTTGTTTTCAGGATTTAAAGTGTAATGGATTTTTACAGGCTGACATGTACTTGGTAAATAAGACTGGGGTGTAGAAGCCATTTAGTGTATCTGGATTAGTACTGAACTATTTATAACATCTTTATCCAGCCGCACTAAGAAGTGTTCCCAAGTACAGATTGAATTCCTGAAGCAGCAATCATGGTGACTAGTTGCACATGCGTAGTTGGATGAATAATATTAGTGGCTGAAGTAAGTACTTCACTGTTGGTGTGTCACTAAGGGAAGTATTGGAATTCAATTTATGTTTTTGTTAAGTTCAAAAAATTTCTTGAATAAATCTGCGAGAATTCCGAACCAGTGTCTCATCAGGTTCATAGTTTTTTAAACTGCACGTCAGCTTTTGCCTCCAGTTGAAATATGTGCTATTTCTTTTCACTAACTTATCTGGGTGGCAGTTTTCAAGTTGAGTCATTGATTGATTTTCATGTTATCATTTGATCATATAACCGTATCCTATAACTCAAAGTTTTCATTATTACTACAGTAAAAAAGGAACTCGAGAAAAATTATGTACTGTTCAATTCCTCTTTATTAATTCATCTGTTCTTCTTGTAAGAAAATCTCATTTTCCTCCAATAAATTTTTACGTTTGCAATTAACAGCTAAGTGTGCTTCACTGCAAGTCGCATAGAGATCTCAAATTTTTAAAGTACATACACAACTTCATGATATAACTGCAGGACATAGCAAGAAGGTAATCGGGAAGACTGTCCACAAATCTGTCCCGACAGCATGAAAATATAAATTGGTTTTGAATGGTTTGGCCAAAATCCACCTTATGCATTGTAGTCTACACTTAACAGTAAAATTTCTCTCATTTTCGTATTACATACAGTAACTTTTATATATTCATTCTTTTTCAGTTCAATCATCGCAACCAATCTCTTGCTTGTTGATGAAATCATGCGAGCAGGATTAAGCTCCCTCAAGGGCTAACTGTATACTCTAATGAGTTAATCGAATATATTTGCTTTTGAATACATATTTATTTCACGCCTTATTTTCTCTGTTTGAATTTACTCTCTTTCGACTGAGTACAGGACAAATAATTGCAACGAATATTCGCGGTAATGTTCTGCTTCGAAAATACCCATCATAGAACCTAAGACTAATTCTAATGTTGACTCAGTTTTATCAGGAAGTTTCTTGTATTATTGTTGGCTAAATGTACAGTGGTAATAACTGAAGTAGGTGATGTAAGCCATTTAGATCCTGAAACAGTCGCGTTCATACCTGATAGTTTTAAGATACATACACTCTGGAGCTCTCCGAAACTAAACTTCGATAGTCTTCTGACCAATCGAACGGGGCAGAGATTTTAGCTTTGCATAACGTCTTAGGATATAAAAAACGGTATGAAATTCACTTGCATTGCGAAGTAGGTAGGTGGAACTTTTTTAAGCTAAAATTATCCCTAATAGTCATGAACAATATTTGGCTTATATAGATATCGATTTTATTTATTGTTGAATAAGAGTCCCAAGTTACTTAAATTTTTTTCATTGCGTCGTCTGCTTTTTAATGTATGTTTTATTGGAGAATGGCAGTCAGGACACCCCTCGTCGTGGCCTGGCGTCCAAACGCCAACAACTCAACGAGCTACAGTGACTGGTGTTCCTGTACATTCTGCCATGCTAGAAACGTCGTTTAGCTAGTGGTCCGACTGAAAGCAGTTACTATCGTAGTGAAAGTCGTTTACACTATGTTGTAGGCTGCTGGTCATAGGGATGTAACCGCAGTAAGGTGTTTCCATCAGATGAGCAGCATGCCAAGTATGCCGCCCCTCCGCTCTGGAGAGAGAGATGGGTCAGAAAAGGTCGATTTGGGGATTGCATTTTTAATAGGGAGTAGCCTTATCGACTTTGGGTATAAGGATCATACTGTCCGCCTTGGTGAAAACTCTAACAAAGTCTTCTGAATACTTTGAGCAGAAGTCTTTGGATGTTTGACATGTGATTCTCTCCTGTCTAGTGTAAGATGACGCCGCAGGACTTGAGTACACTCACTCAGCCTAAAAATAGTGAGGCAGTTGAGCTTGTTGACCCCCACACTTATTTATGAAGTTGTGTCAGATTTAATGGACTGATTTCTTACAATATATTAGCATATATGCAAAAGGTTCATATGGCATTTGTCATCTCCGGTGTGGGCGTAATATCTGGGTTTCAATCAAATGACGTGCATGCTGCGCAACATGACCATTGATATGAAAAGACTGTCTTTGATCACATATTTGCGTCTTATCTCCCTTGTTAAGTGGCACAGTATAGTGAGTAAAATGGGGGTTAGTCGTGGAGTGCTAGGTAAAGAAGGGAAGTAAGGCAATCAGGCTCTAAAGCTACCTCGATTGAGAAAGCTAGGAAACGTTGCGCATACTGATCTACTATTTCCCCCTTCGACACTGGACTAGGTCTAAAAGGAGTAGGGGGTAGTCAAACCAAAACCTGGTGTTGGTCTATGAAGTCTCTGATCGTTGGTTTGAGACCCGTAGGGAGATGCTGACTCCCTGACTAGGGTTCTCGGGATACTAAGGTCCAATAATTTGTGACTGCTGGTGATATGGATGAAAACTGTTCTCACTTTTTCATCCACTAAACCGTCATGTTCTTTCATTTTACTATTCTTTCTCTCGCACATTTCCGTTCTTCTGAAGCTCTTATTTATACCTCTCAGTGTGCTACATGTAATGTGGCAACTCAAACTACAGCTCTTCTGTACTGAAACCGAAATAGTCTGTCAGGACAGTTTGAGTCAAAAAGCACACTAGTTTATGTATCTGTGCTTAATTTAGTATTCTACACGAATATATATATATGCATTAAGTAGGCAATTTTCAAGTGATAGGTCACCCAATCTCGTCAACCTTTTGACTACGGATTCGTCATCATTTTTAGAAAACTAAGTGTAAATTATGTGGGGTTACACGTGCCTTATAATTACTTGAATTCTCTCTTTGTATCGAAAGTCTGCTTCGTTAGAGAGTAGTCCTGTAGGCCAGCCAAAATGATTCTTCAGCGTTCTTGTGAATTGTTAATAGGCTTACGAATTGCCTCAGATACCATGCCACTTGTGCTTTCGGTGGTTCAGAAGACTTACGATATCTTTCAACTTTCCTTGATGTATGCGCTTTTCACACGACACATGTGTATTCTTTTTGACCACTAGGTCTCGCGATCGTTATGTAGATGGTTTGATTTTATGTGGCAAGAGCCTTACCCAAATTAGTATACGTGCAGTTCACTAGGGCGAACTGGTAGGTTTCAAGAAAGCCAGAAGGTTCTTATAAGTCATAATGGCATCTTCCAAGTGTAGCCAGTGTTCTGTACTTCGTATTGGGTCATCAGGAAGCTTGTAATTTAGTTTGGTTTGATATTCGGCTTCTGTAGTTGGAGCAACTAACTTGGTATAAGAACAGAATCTCTGTATGCTCGCCATTGATTAAGATTCTTGGCCGTATCCGATAACGTTTAGAGCCATCGATTCCAGCTATCTCTCGGACTCCAACCATGGAGTCGTGACGCAACGACCGTTATTAACCTAACACAAATATCCTTCATCCCACCACCTTTTCGCCTTTCCCATTTCGTCCCAGGGCTAGCGAAAAGAGACCAGTACGGAAGCCTTTGGGATGACGTTCGTAGCACGTGTCCAGGCCACCGAAGCCGGTGTTTCCAGATGACGACACTCAACGAATGGGGGTCTCCACCGTGTCCAAACACACGCCGTCGAACCTCAGAGTTACTCACGCAATGATGCCATCGAACACAAGCAATCCTACCGAGATATCGTTGATTGAGTACTCAGCGTCGCCGCATATCCTCAGATCGGAGAGGCCAGGTTTCATAGGCGTAGAGCAAGACAGCCCACAACAAAGCATTGGATATCCGACCTTTTATAGCCAGGGTGACGTGGCGACGGCGCTAGAGGTGGGTCAAGTTGACTGTACCATCCTAGGTTTCATGATATGGTTGGAAATCTCGTCCGCCACACCTCCGCCAGCACTCATACAGATACACAAACTTATCGACAGCTTCAAGTGGTCCTCCTGCCAGAGTGAGTGCAGGTACAGACTCCTGCCAATCTTGTAACAGTACTTTGCACCTAAACGGCGCAAAGCACATACCATACTTACAGACACTGATCGCCAACTGATTAAGTGCGATTTGGACAGTACGACCATGTCGTCTGTGTACTCGATGTCGGAAAGTCTTTCTCTAGGGAACAGATCTATACCGCCTTCACTCAAGTCCTTCAGGGCTGACTGCAGAATGTCATCAATGGCAAAGTTAAAGAGAAATGGAGAGATTTAGCAACCCTGTCTAACGTCATTGTTGGTTGTATGCCCTCAACCTATCTGTGTTTCTCTATAGGACTTCCAGAATGTTCACAGATTTCTCAGGTAAACCCCTCTCTAACAGACAGTCCCAGAGCACAGTTATGTCCAACGAATCGAAGGTAGCACTAGTATCGAGAAACACGACGACTGTTGACCTGCAATAAATATGACGGTGTTCCAAAGACTGACAAAGAATGGACACATGGTCAATGCATTCACGACCTGAACGAAACCCAGTCTGCTCTTCGCGAATCAAGCCCTCACGTGTTTTGCACAGCCTACCAAGCAAGACAGCAGACAATATTTTAGACGCAATTATTAGCAAACTGATACCCTTAAGGTTGTCGCGTCGGCTGTTTTTAAAGTTGGGGATGATGATGATGGCACATTCTCAATTTTCAATACTTTCCTGAACAAACTAGTCAAAGCGATGACGAGAGTCGCCACCAACTTTAAAAATAGCTGGAAGCAGGTCGTCTGTGCCGGGTACCTAATGGCGTCTCAGTACTTGCAGTTCCTTCCGGCCCTCCGCTCCGATTGGTTGATCGGTGATGACCGACCAAAGAGCACTAGAGCTGATGGCCAGCTAAACTGCTTCTAAAAGTACTCTCGCCAAGCGTTCTAGGTGTCTTTTCAGGCTGGTAATTAGCGTACCAGCTACCTCACAGACCGTCTCGCTGGCACCTTGTTTTTTTACTGCCGATGTCTCGGATGAGTTAGAACAGCTTCCAACTGTTGCCAGATGCAGCAGCCGACTCCATCTGACACGCACGTTCTGACCACCAGGCTTCGCGGCTTTTACGTAGACACTGTCTAACATTGCGCGTTCTATTCGCTGCCAGCTGGAGTGGACCGGCGTTCATCGAGGAGTTGCGAGGAACTCGCAGAAACCCAGTGGTTTTTAGGGGAGCATCCTTTTACGCTACAAGCAGCGGCACTCGCCATTTGCATGGCATCTTACAGATGAAGCTAATGTTCACCTATACTTCTTGGAGGGTCGTTAGCAAGCATTGATTGCAACTCAGTCTTGTATATTGAAGAGGTACAGGTGCTACCCGTTTGCTCACAACAACGTTTAGATGACACCATTTATGAACCCCACACAAGACGAACACACATAGTTTGGATTACTAAATTTAACTAACACGTTCCCCAGGAATTCTCTTAAAGAAACTCTCTGAAACAAGGAAAAACTGCATAACTTCGTTAGTCTGATTGGCAACTTTCAGCATAGTTTCTATTGAAAACCAAAATTATTCAGGTCATACATTACGTGATCTATTTGATACCATAAATGACAATCAAGAAAGCAAACATAAATGCTTGAGACTATAGACGACTGATTGATTTGGTTGATTGGTTACAGGATTTCATCATGAGTTGACATTGGTTAGAGAATCATAGAAAAACCTAGGAGTACTGGACAGCTATTTCGTCCTGGTTTTGGATTCTTCATCAGTACTCACCCACACTTCGGGGTTCCAAACCCGGACCTTCTGGTTACAAGGCGAGCTCGTGCACCATTAAGCCACTGGGACCCGATCCAATGGCCAGCCCATGAATTCTAACTTCCGTCAATTCACGATATAGTGTAACCGCTAGCCAATGTCTTCGGTATGTATTTGTCCTCACACCCAACCTGCTGCACCCTACTGGTCACGGCTTCCCACTGGGACCCCAGGTAACCGCCTACCTGAATAGGACCAGTCGCCATTCGGATTTTCTGAGCTGAGTCACGCCGAGTGGTGGTACATCGCTGATGATCATCTTAGCCCTAAGCAAGCAAAACGACTGTTCAGTGTGTTAAGATTGCTTTAAATCAGGCTAGTAGTAAACACTACCAATCGATGATATGAGGGGTATACAAGTATTCATTCCAACCAATCACTAGTATGTACTGTCATGAATAACTGTTGTGTTTTTGATGATGAATACTAATTACGAGTTAATTAAGATGCACACAAGTAAGAAAAACAAACAATACTTAGTATAACAGTAAATATGGTTTACTTTATTCTAATTAAATTCGACTAGCATTAACATATTTGTCGTTCCAAATAAAAAGAGAAGAGTTGATAATACTGACAATACACATAATATAATATAATATGCTAAATAAAATCTACGGAATCTTATCATTGAAGGAAACTGAAGTCTAAAACATATTTCTCAAATTCGCAATTTATAGTCGTAGTTGCGTAGTAGTAGTAGTATATAGCCAGATACATTAACTACAAGATAAAATGCGAAGATTGTACTTTCCTGAAATATAACAACCATCATCATCATAAAGAATGAAGGAAGCACAACAGTCTTCCCTTTCTCTGGAATAAATTCCACAATAGAATACAATACAATAATATAATTTATCAGGATAGTGAGTGTCCAAACAACGATTAGAACCAAACAAAAACGACTTTAACATACTTGTAAATAATGCTGCTAGTGTGTGTGTGTGTACTCAACTGAGACAGTTAGTTATATTACATGTTTTTCACATATCAGTAGTATATGTATATGCATAAATATAACAAAGAAAAAGTGAAGATTTAAAAGGATTCACTGAAAGACCTCAACTTTATATATATATATATATATATATATATATATATATATATATATATATATATATATAATTAAATGGCTGTCAAAAAAGACAGACAGACATTATATTTTTGATATCAGAGCATGAAAAGGAATGGATACGAAGTGAAAAGAAATGGTGATAACAATAATAATTGGTTAGTTAACATAGCAGGATAATTGTTATTTGTTTAAAACTGTCCAGGATTCCCAAAAATATCGTTTAAAAGGTCCGCATTCGAGGTAACCGTAGCAGTAGGATTAGTACTGGTGGTGATATTAGTAGAAGTAGGATTCTGAACAGAAAAGAGAGAAAAAGATTTATGTGTAACACAGTGGTTAGTGGAAAAGAAATTATTGGATTCATACTATTTGTATATGGTAGGGTGAATTGGTAAATTTAATTAATTATGCAAGTGAAAAGCAACAAATTGGCAGAAGAAGCATCAAAGATAGGGATCCAAGTAAACATAGAGAAGACAGAGGTGATGAAGATTTCTGGCCAACAGCAACAACAGACAACAATCAGCATAAATGGGAGAAACGTGAAAGAAGCAACTTCCTTTACCTACCTACCTGGGAAGCACCGTTTCAACTGACGAGGATATCAAAGCACCGATCGGGAAAGCAAGACAAGCTTTCATCACTTTCAAGTCTGTGTGGAGATAGATCACCAGCACTCAGCATGAAAAATAACATCCCGATTTTCAACTCCAATGTGAAGTCAGTGCTACTCATGGTTCAGAGAATTGGCGAGTCATGAAGAGCACTTCAAACAAGCTACAGACTTTCATCAACAGCTGTCTTCGCTCAACACTCAAGATCAGATGGCTGGCCAGGAAAGATCAGCAATAGGAATCTCTGGGAGCGAACCGACCAGGAACCGATTGTGTATCAAATAAGCAAGAATAAATGGAGGTGGATTGGTCACACTCTGAGAAAACCATCAAGTGTCATCACGCGCAGGATAAGCCGTCGAGTGGAACCCGAACGGAAAGCGGCGAGTTGGTTGTCCGAGGGTGACATAGAGGAGGTCATGTGAAAAGGAGATGAAAGCATGTGGGCAGACACGGAGCCAGGTGAAACCTTTAGCAGAGAACCGAACGCAATGGAGAAGTGTGGCTGAAACCCTATGTTCCTCTAGGAATTAAAGGAAATAATAATAATTCAACTCTATTCATCTTGTGTTTATTCAAGAAACAGGACATTTGCAATGAAACTTATCATTAAAAAAGAGAATTATTTGTTTTATTTTATTTTTTTTCTTCTAGCTTGACTCTACACAGTATTTTTGATATAAGTATGGAATTTTCAGCATGTGATATCGGTAGCTTAAATTTAGCAGACCGACCATTGATATCAGGTGTGCGTCGGCCGAGGATCAAACCCCGGATCATACGCATAGTTGGCGAGCGTCCTAACCGCTGTGTCACCGACGCACGTAATAACAATAATATTTGTCAATAATGAACCAATCTACTATAGTAGATTACTGTTTAATACTATGCTCTCTTGGGTGAAAAGACACCCAACTCTAGAGAATGCAATAAATTGCAACAACTTTACTATGAGAACTATGAACAGTGAAGCGACAAATCGACAGAGTGGAATATATTTGTAGAAAATAATGGTCAGACTATCACTACACAACTTATGTCACTATCTCGGACACAATGAACTATGCACATTTTGTGTGATTAGGAAAATGCAAGGCATGACACGAATAGCTTACTAAGAAAAACTAAGTAAACGGACCCCTTTTTATTCTTTCTTCCACTTTTACACTGTTGTTAATAGTTTTACTCAGAATTTTATGTTCATATTCTCATTTGACTATATTATCAACTTGAATGCCCCTTTTAATTACTACTCCTGCATTACGTGAAGAGAAAATTAGCTGCAATAATGTGTACATGCTGAAAATTCCACATTACTATCAAAATTTTTATTTTATATTTCATCTATATATTTATTTTATATTATAAACGCAGAGAAACCTTGGTACAATATGGCACCAAGAAAGATGCACCACACAAGTTGTGTGAGGGTTGAGATACTGCCCGGGCGCCCATACCGAAGCAGGTGGTTTTCTTAAGGGACCACCCCCCGGGCCTTTGACTTGGAGTCTAATCCGCAAGGCAGCAGAGCAGCGTCAGAAGCTGCATTCCCATGGTTGCTGGTGACCAATATGGGTTCATACGCCATTTGACCCCATTGGATTCTAGAACTCATGTACCCAATGGTAACTGCTTCTAGTCTAACCGCTACCCAAACAACCTTCCTGACATAGTAGGACCTGCAGGGACATGTGTCCCAGCCAGTTTAGCTTGTTGGGTCACTGCAGTATTCAAGCCCGACCACCACGGCAAGGTAGCAGTTGTCGGCCGGGTAAAGATCTCTAGTGAATCAATCAGTAAACTAGTTAACCTCCTGTAAGATAAACATAATAAATAGAACAAATATCATGTTGTACATTGAAAAAAAATGTCGCATACAACTAATCACTTACATTAGACGTAGGCATAGAAAGTATATTGTCCGATTGCTGTGAATCACCACCGACTAAATCAAAAGATGTTGGAAAGTGTACAGTCTCCCCAGTCGTCGTAGTAGTAGTAGTAGTACTAGTAGTAGTTCGACTTCCACGGGAACGAGAAATACCTGGCGGAGGGGGAGGAGGTAGCAGACCACTACCACCACCACCACCGATTGGACGTGAAACTTTCGACTTCTGATTAGGCTCATCACCTGTACGTCGTGTGTTAAGATTTAATTTGATCTTTTCGCCTTGTTTGAACGCCATATTTATAGCTGGTTGATCGGCTGCTATTTTCTCCATTTCCTCAGCTTCTTTTTCTTGTTTTAACCACCTGGGTATAATAGAATGAACAAAATGAAATGTCTCCATTTCTAGTTCACAAGAAAGTAATCACATTAATCCTACAAATAATAAACACATCTCTTAGAATATATATATATATATATATATATATATATATATATATGATAAACTTGTTTGATAGATACTGTTCACACCTGACACGATGGCAACTAGTGTTAAGAACTATTAGTCAATTAAGCCATCTTATGGATTTAGTGACAAGAAGAGTTTAACGAAAGGTTCCCTTATTTTTTAACTGTAGCTCCAACATGTGATTTCTGATGCTGTTTTAGAATTTTACTAATTGTTTTTTGTGAAGAGCAAGAGATTGTACACCATGAATCTTTTTCCCCTTGTTCACGTTTTTTTTGCTATGGTAATTCCTTGACAAGTTAAAGAAGGTAACAAAATACTTTTAATAACAACTTGGTTGTACATTTTACTGCAGGAAGGGTTCATTAGGTGACGTTGAAATAGTATGCCTGGTGTACATTTTTTTTCCGGTATCGAAGTTTCAGAATACAAATCATTAATACCAGGTTCCATCACATTAACTGTCAAATGTTTTGTGTAACAAGAATGTAAAGTAGCGCCCCCTTAAATAAACAATCTATCTACTTACAACGTATAGTATAATATAGTGGTAAATACTTACTATGTATATGTTTGACTTTTTTATGAAAAATCTCCGTGTACTAATCTACACATTGTCTTCTGCACTACTTCACACACTTCATAGCAGTTTATTTGGTTTATAACAGATATCTGGATATATATAACACTTTCCAGTAGGTCAAAACCCTTTAACTGATTGCCTGACGTGCATACTACCCGTCATATATGAGACTGACATAATAGTGCTTTCGCTGACAGAATGAAGGCTGAAAACTACTCAATAAGACAGCTATTTCGATAATGCTGAAAAACGTATATTACTGGTCAAAGTGCTTTCCTATACACACACACGCAAAAACAAAGCAGCTAATTATTTCTTAACTAGTATTAATAGTTAAGACAGATATAGAGGTCACAGCAAACCGCACAGTATAAGTGGATCGATAAGAATATCAAGAACCAAAGCACTGAAAATTGTCTTTATATTATGCTGTTAAGAAAATTTAGATTTTTAATTTAGCGCCATGAATGAATACGTTGTAAGCAAAACTTTTTCATACACAGAACTCATCAATTAAAAATACTGAACCCTCTCCGTAGAAAACATCAAATTACATACACTACACACTGTCTTAAAGGGAGACAACAATTTATAAGCACATATCTACCTTATAAAAGTAGAGTCATTCCTGAGTATTTTGCTATTCTGGGAGAGTAGTGTCAGGAATTATTTTGAAAACAGGCAAGATTGAAGTAAACCATCAATGATGCACTAGTTGTCTTATTAAGCTTGATTTACTTAACATTTTCATATACCCACAGTGACATGTGATTGTTACTGATGAATTAGTTTACATTATTCATTTCCACGATAACTTTATACAGTAAGCAACTTAATGGTTTTGGATACAATCAGATATAGCACAAAACTGAAAGTAATGGTGATCATGTTGTACCACTTCAGTTTGGTGTATTATCAGACAGTCTTTTGCATATTTCATAGTAAGAATGATTATCTGCTCATTCTGTTACTTTCCAACTATTCTCTTCCTATTCTTTCTGAATTGTTGGCATGATACTCTGTATGACTGTAATACACTAACACATGCTAACACAACACGATTACTCATCATCTTAAGACACAACATCATAAACTGAACACCTCTCTACTTCTAAACTTTTGCATATACCAACTATGACTCGGTACCTAAGTGGACAAAATTGCTATCAGAGAGCCTGAAGTATGTTAATGAATGTCTTAAAAATACACAGATCAGTGAGCAGTTTCTAAACAGTCATTTGGTTTGGGTCACATAGGGAGGTGTAGGTTGTCTAGTTGGAGTCGCAGGGGTGCTGAGAACCACCAATGGCCTGAGATTATTGGTGATATGGCTCAAAATCTTTCTCAACAGCGCAAATGTATTCGCTTGCCGTGATCTCCCATATCCACTAGACTGCCATGTTTTCCTATGTTACTATTCTTTCTCCCTCACATTTCTGCTTGTTGTAGCTCTTTTGTATCTATCTTTTCTCTACTTTTGTGTGCCTGGAAGTCTACATCTTCCATGTAGGAAGATGTAGACTTCCAGGCTGGGGTCCTCGGGACGGTAAAAATCTATGGTTGGAAACAATTGGTGACATGGCTCAAAATCGTTCTCAGTGGCGCAGATGCATCCACTCCCTGTGACTTATGATCTTCAATGAAACTGTTTTGTATTTCTTTATTACTCCTTTGTCTCACACCTCTGCTCACTGTTTCTATTATGCTTTTCTTGTACTTTCTTCTCTTGCTTCGCGTGCTACACGGAATGTGGCGACTTGAACTTCCGCACATTTGTGCAAAGTTCTATGTCGAAAACAGACAGACAGACAGACTACTTTTGTGTGTTACACAATATGGTAACTTGAAATAATGCACTTCTGCGCTAGGTTCTATGTTGAAAACCCAACTACTTATTTTACTCCATAACGTACAAAGCAGTGGAATCGTCTTAGTGAATACTATACCTATTCATTTATTTTAATAACATATTTGCGTTTTGGGTTTGCAGGGTTTCCATAAATTTAAATGTTGGTTCTTCTACGAGTCTACATAAGTTAGAGAATCAGTAAAAAACAGAGTATATATATACTAATGATTCAAAAATGTAAACTTATGAATTTAACAAGAAGGAAAGTAGAAAAAAGTGTTGAAGGAAATTATGAGTTAAGCAGAATTAACAAAAAAACAAATTTGAATAAATTGACTTACTTAAAATGGTCTTGAATTGCTACATTTAAGTCAAAAGAATCTGATCGTTCGGTGAAACCAATTCCAGTAAATGTGGTCCGTCCATCATTACTTACAAGTCGAATAACAAAATACCGACTCGAATCGAGAACTGGTTCAACTGATATTCCAGGAAAGGAGTCTACAGGGCATTTAGCAAATAACTGTCCAGAGTTTTTGTCCTCCAATAGTATGACTAGATCTTTTCCCTTGGAGACAACGCGAAGTCTTACAGTCCACATAGGTGCTTCTAAGTTCCAATCATTAGCTCTATATCCTCGATTAGATGGTCTAGGGGGAATTCGATACACGAACACTTCATTTTTAACCAAAAGTACACTTTCGTAATCCATGAAGCTGAATACAAAAACAGTACAAACCAAATAACAGGTGATCTTTTGCAACAGACCAGTTAAACTAAGCACAAAAATTTGAAAAAATAACTCTGATGGGTATCTGATATATAAGCGTGGGAAAATAAAATACACCATGCTCACATCCGAATTTCGTCAGTAACTGCTATTCCAGACTTCTAATGAATTTCCTTAAAAACGGGAGAGTGAAACAGCTGTTTGGTTGTTGCCCAATACGCAAAGTGGTCAACATCATCAGGAATAACTGGAAGATAGATTTTTTCTGAATTAGGAGTGATAAATTAGATCTAAAATCAATCAGGAATACACCGTCCGATGTTAGTTTAACAGTGGCAGATCAGGTATAAAATGTTTTTGTAAGCAGCCTTTTACAAGTTACTTATTTCACATACGTTACGATGCTAACATAAGCTAATCATTCCCAGTTATCAACTGCATACCTATCAGCTTGTTAAAATCACGAAGACTTCAAATTCTGCAGTTTGACACATTTTATGTTGACAGTATAATTTTGTGACTCTCAAAACATTTTTTTCGGTTATTACTTCCTCTAATGGTTTGTCATCACAAAAATCGTCCATGTAGTCAAAACACGAAAACTCACCATCTACCTAATGTGAATATACAAGAGTGGAAACTGAAGAGAAACATAAGAATATTGGCTTCTCAATAATAAGTAGTTCAGTTATTATGGGAATTGTGAAACACTATAAGTCTTATTATTTTATCCCAACAATGTAGATGTTTCTTCTGAACCCATATTTCACAATAGCTATAATATGTTTAGTGTAGTTCAAGAAACCAAAAACAACAAATAGCAGCCTATCCTATACACGAAATAACTACATGGGAAGGAATAATTAAGTTAGCATTTATCCTGACATCGATATCGAAGAAATAAGATCAGAGGTTCAAGATAACAAAAAGGTCATAGAATTGACTTACTGTCAATGTATATCACTTATGTATCTTTAAAGACATCTTCTGTAATCAGTCAATATTAAAAGCTCACATAACAGGACGTTTAGAACAAGCTATATGCAGCCAGAATACTTTTGAGAATTATTTAAAATGACAATTTTCAAATCTCTTCCGCTCTGGTTTTCTTAACACTTTTAAACTTGATACAATAGTTACATTTGCTCCCAGTGTAGGGAAAAATCCTTTTTCTTCATAATTTAGAAATAAAAAGTGAAATCAACTTGTGGTATATTTTCTGTGCGTTACTTAATGAAACAACTTAACAACTTATTATCCTTCTTGATAGTGGTAAGTTAGTACGAATTCATCAGTTAAATAAAAATCTTAGAATGCAGCCAGCGTATGGGTTCAGCACACACTATACAAATACCTGTGTTACTCATGGAGATTTTTGACAGATATCATGAACAAGCACAATCATATAAAACAGTCTGTTAATACTTAAAATCTGTCACTAAAATACTTATATGAATATTACCGGGTCTTCCTGAAGTATGGGTTTATTCGTAGCAATTACGACATGGATTTCGCCTGTAAAGTCCTTTGGATAATTCAAGAAGCCTTGCTAATGTATGGTATGTAGTAGTCATTCAGTGACCCTCTTACAGAGATACATAATCTTGTTTTCATGATTCCCGTTGTTATTACGGCAGTAGAATACAAACAAAATCGAGAACCACACTAATCCGAATAATTCCACTAGCTATTCTCTGAAGAGATAATTTAGGCGATTACTGGAGACCAGAGCACTCATCCGGATTATCGACATACTATCCACTGTCGCATTATACCTTTTAGAACACAAACTGTGTTCCCTTCAAATCGAGTTTTCCCACTTGATTTTGTATATGATTTTATTATCTGTTTTTGTAATTCTAAAGGATACAATGAGTTCACAACCAACAGTGAGCAGTATTACAGTAGGGTTTGAGGCAAAACATGTAACCTTAACCCGCTACAAACAACGGAATAGAGTAGGGTGTGAAAAGCACAAACTAGACTTCACCTAACAACCCAACGACTAGTAGTGTATATAAATTAACTGAGGTGCTATCAAAGTATATACTGATCGTGTAATGACGCTTCCTAACAGAAACGAGTTAGCCCGCTTATGACGGTAAGTCAGAATTTATACCCCAAACACATTGGCTAAAACACAAGTGCTTAAATCAATGAGAAACATTTTTACTACTATAATAGCAAGCATTATAATGTTAGCATCATAATCTGATGATTAGGATAGTAGGCTCTTGGGCAAAGTTCAATAGTAGCGTCCAGGATTGTGAACGCTCCAATGACCTTGAACGCATGCTAGTCGTTGGCTAACGGTATCTGTCATTATCATAGCTGAAATATCAACGCTATACACCAACTAAGCAATAAATTTAACTGAGATCACCTTTTTAAGTAATGTTTGGACAATGTCTTAATAGCTCGTTAGGATTAGGGCTAAGGTAAGTATTGGGGTTAGGGTTAAGCTTATGGTTACGATTAGGGATAGATTTATAGTTACTGTCATTTATTTTAATTTGTTTTATTATCCACATTTTCCTGTTAAGTAGTCGTCTATCCTCTTGTTGGAAACCATGACAGTTCAAGTGAGGGTTTTTTGGAAGACTAAAAGCGGAATGAGAGAGATAAACGATTCACAAAATAGTTTATCTGTAGTCATCTCGGTGAATACATCTACAGAAACTAGTCTAACTTAGCAACTGATACTCCTCGTTATAACTAGGACGTGTTTTTAAGCCGTGTCAGAGAAAGATAATCTCTTAATTGAGTTTTCTTGTCAACATACATCATTTTTGAGTAAACATTTCTCATTTTTATGATTGGTCAGCTAAAGATTACTCGTGAGTTCGCACTCCTGGGACGCTATTGTTAAGCTCTGCAGAGACTTAACTTCTCTTTAAAGGCGTTCACCAATGGAGCTGATACTACTGAATCAGATAAGAAGTTTCAGCCGTTGAACACTGTGAGAGAATCTAAATTCCGCAAGTATTTTTGTCGTCCTCGGTTTGAGCACCTTCTTACGGAGGTGTGAACAGCACCATTCTACACGTTCCAATAAGTCACAAGCAGAATTTAGACTTTTATGGAAGTTGGTCAACAGCTGGATATCATTGCCGGAGCTGATATAAGATCGCCAGTTAAACGCCCTCAATGAGAAACTGTCTCTACAAACACATATACTACAAAGTTTAACGCAAGCAACCACAGACCTCATTCTCTGTATTTTTTTAAAAATTTATAAGACATTCTACGAAACTTAAAAATGCAAAAGATACCTACTAGAAGTGAAATTAGTCGACTATGCCAAATATTCACATTACACGTAACGCAAGAACGGAAAGCGCTCCATGATCCAATATCCAATATCGTTTTTACGAGCTAGTATAAACCAATTTGATTTCTTTGTGCTCGCCTCTTGATTGTAAGGTATAGGTTCCTGATCTTCGGTAAACTTCTGCGTAGCTTGTCCCGCCACTCGACTGTCGTAGCTTTGATTGACTCCAAAGGGAGTAGTGCTGGGTTTAATTATATGTGGTTTGTAGTATGAGGTATGTTAAGACTGTTACTACTGTGATTGGAGTTGATCCTTTCGCCAGTTAGTCCTTCGGTATCGTTGACAAGAGAAAAGAGATAGTAATAATAATCGATATAATTAGTGAAGTTATTCAGACTAAGAGACAGAAACGGAAATAGGAAAGCGTAACAACAGTCAGCTCATTAAGTTTGAAGAATAATATATATATATATATATCGGTAATAATAATAATAATAGTAATTATAATATTAATAAGTTGTCAGGAGAATAAGACGGGAGAGAATGTAAAGAAGTAAAATGACGAGTTTAATTGTCTACCCCTGAATGGTGTATGCGGTTTTAAGGGGATAGGCCATGTGTCGCTGCATGGTTGTCCAGCCTTCGCTTAAAGGCGTCCAAAGACGGTGCCATAGCTACATCTGCCGTCAGGGGATTCCAGGGACGGCAAACCCGTAGTGAAAAGAAGTGGGAGCGCACCCGGGTCCTTGCCCTCTGGTGAGCTATCCTTCTGGGATTTCCACGTGGGAGCCTATACCTACTCAGTGGCAGAACACCTTTGTTTGGGTGATTCTGGTCATTTGTTATTTTGTAGGCAGTAATCAAATCCCCCTAAGCCGACGGTAACTAAGTGTGAACAGGCCTAATTTCTTCAGCCTTTCATCATATGGTTTGTTTCGGAGACCAACCACTCCTTTTGTTGCCAGTCTTTGGACTATTTCCAAGTAGTTGGCGCCTCTTCTCAGCATTGGGGGTGCAATAATATTATGCACCTCAAGGTGTGGCCTGACGAATGTTTTGTACAACATTAGAAAGAGCTCAGGATTGAGTTCACCTGTCTATGCGTAAAGTGTATGAACGCATATACCCTCGCTACATCCCCTGTGTAATTTACGCTTGCGTCCATTTTTTCCGTTAGAACTAGACCAAAGTCGCGTTCCGACGTTGTGCAGGACAAGCTTTCATTGCAGAGGGTGTAACTTGCATTCTGCAGTCCACAGGTGCGCAAATTCACTACATTGCACTTTTCAAGTTGAAAGTCATGTGTCAAAGGAGCTGAAGATTGAACGATCACTTCTTGGTTGTTTGCTCAAACTCAACTTCCCCAATTTTCGCGGAGGCATCAATACGATAGTCATCGTCTCTTCGGTCGCTGTTCAGAAAGAAGAGTGAAACATCGTCAGAAGTAATACAATGATTTATTATTGTAATATTTGTTTTCAGACCTTAGTTCGCTTATTCTTTTTATATGTTGGTGTAACAATAAAGAAATATCAAACGGCAGATCGGTGTTTTGGTTTTTGCGTCCGTTATCACTAAGCGTTTCTGAAATCTTCGAAGAATAGCGTGGGCCCGAGCGTAGCGAGAGCTGGACATTAACGGTTTACGAGACGGGGCTGACAGTTTCTGACAGTACAACCAGATTTAACGGTTTTGGACAGTTGGCACGATATTGAATAGTCACCGTACATCTTTCCTGGTGCCGGCCAAGTCCTCTTTGAACAAGCAATATCTGGAACTTTTTGGAATTGGGTCAAGTTCAACAATGCCTGGGTCAAAGAAGGGACAGAGTGTCTTGGATGCAAACAGGAAAGTAAGTCATGGTGACTTGTCTGTTAATTGTAACGATGTGTCTGATGTTAAGCATGACATGGTTGATGTTACTGTTTCGCCGTTCAGGGATAATAGGAACATCAAACTCCCTAAATTTGAACCACGGTGTTTTGATGGAAACCCGGCTGATTATTTACAATTTGTAAAGGAGTTTGAGATCATGTTGAGTAGTTTTCTATTAAGTGATGAATTGAAGTTAATGTATTTGATGAGATATTGCACTGGAGATGCTGCAAGAGCTATACAGTGCTGTAAGTTTATGAAGCCAAAAGAGGGCTACTACGAGGCTATGAGCATATTACGTCAAAGGTTTGGAAGACCTTCGATGATTGCAGGGAAATTATTCGAGGCTGTTAAGGGTAATGGTGGTCAATTACAGGATGACTCCCAGGCACTCACTGAGTTTTTAGATAATTTGCTAATTTACAAGAATGGAATGATTTCGATGAATCGCATGAGTGACCTCAACTCGAGTTTTATACTAGAAGTAATAGCAAGACGTCTACCTACTCGACTGCAAAGGAAGTGGGTGAAGATGAGCTCCCGTATGGAGGATGAGGGTATCGAGCCAAAGTTTGATGATATCCTGAAACTGGTAAAAGATAGTGTCAATCAATCTATGAGCAAGTTTGCCAGTATATTGAATCTCACCCCTAGAATAGAGCAGTCTGAATGCAAAATGCAATCATTGATGACGAGTAGGCCTCAGAGAGGTGGATATCGAGAAGGCTCCATGATGTCTAGTAATGCATATAGACCTAGTGAGTGTAACAGGTTTCGTAGTACATCCTCAACAGATAAGTTACAAGATGCAAGACAAACACGGCTTTGTTTTACACGTGTGCAAGAGGTGCATACAGAAGTGAACTGTGAACCAGTGAGCAAGTTCAGTGATAAGCTAAATGTAAACTCCAGGTCTGACTCCGAATTGTGTGACGATAACGGTGCGGTGAAGAAGTCTGTAGTTGCAACTGGTAAGCCGTTGTTGAATAGAGTGTCACAGAATAGAGTTACTGCTTCAGAGTGCAGTTCTGACTCCAAAAGTTTACAAGGTATAACTAGTCAGAGTGAAGATATAAAACCTTTAATGATTTGTGAGGAGGAACCAAAATTGTCTACTTCTGTTATTAAAGAGTTTGAAAATGATGAACTTGACGGTAAATTGAATATTTGTGGTAATGATCATGATAGTGCAGATTTGTCTTTGGTTGATCATGATGAAATGGGGGGAATGCCTACTACCGCTAAGTTAAATAAAGGTTCTGTACAACTTGAACGTGAAGTAGAATTAAATGCAGTTGCAGAAGGCATGCATACTTGTCAAACCGTCAGTGTAATTGATCAGAGTGAAGCCCACCTATCATCAGATGCTAGTGCTAAAGCGGAGCTGATAGTAAAAGACAGCAGTGGTGGTGGTCTTGCAGGTAGACAACTTTCTGAAAGTCGAGCAACAACAGCTTTTGATCCACTGCTAAGTTCATCAACTGATATCAATCAGTCGTCGTTGGTGCTGTCATCCACAATGAAACAGACACCCATCAACTCAAGTATCTTGTGCAATGACTATGCTAGTATCAGTTCGTTTGAAAGGACGAATATCAATGGTCAGTTTAGTGAGGATAAGCCAAGTGTAAACGAGAGAGTAATTGTTAAATTGACTTGCACGAATAAAGGCATTTCTAGTTTCAAGTTACTATTTGAATGTTATTATCTTTGGTGTAAATTACTCTGTTTCTACACTTGGTTGATGAGATATGTCGTGTGTTTGTTGGTCATCTATATTCTACGATACAATGACATGGGCGTGTTGCCGTTCAGATTTGAGGATATAGCTGATAGAAGGAAGTCAGCAAATGAACTCTGCGACGATTTTCCAACCTAGAGCGTCAACCTGAGAAGGGTTGTAGGCGTACTGCTGTAAGTCCTACAATTCTTCAAAGGGTAGCGCATCAATGAGCAGTCCAATGTGCTTGGTGTGTGATTTTGTACATATGTTCATATTGTATATACTGAATTGATATCATCTGTCATCTAGCTGTTGGTAATTCTGTTTGTGTCCGGACGACTTCCACTTGGATCATCAACCTGAGAAGGAATGTAGGCGTACTGCTGTAAGTCCTACAGTTCTTCAAGGGTAGTTTGTCATGGCAGAATCCACAACATTTGATGTGTTGATTGTACATATGTTTGTGTTAAATAATTGTGTGAGTTCCAATTGATGTAATTGTTGGTTAATCTTGTTTGTGTCCGGACATTCCACAACTTACAATCGTCAACCTGAGAAGGGTTGTAGGCGTACTGGTGTAAGTCCTGCAATTCTTCAAAGGAATTCCACCAAGACATGATCGGCGAGGTTGTTTGTACTATTTGTATATACGTGTGGTGTGTCATAGCAATTGGTGTATTTTGGATTCATTGTGTTTACTCGTTGTTTTCGTACCTTGTTGTTATTGCGTAATTTTGTTAAAATTTTCGTCGTGATTACTTCTGAAGTTGTTTCGAGTCTTCTACATCCGTGAATGAATTGATTGATGTTAAGGACAGCAGATGGGTCGTATACGCCGGGGAGGCTATTGCTGAGAATGAAATGCACACGGAGATAATTGTTAGCTGCGGTCCGACACGCCGGGGAGAAAGAGTGTAAACGACTGAGGCTCGCATGCGTCACCGTTACTAGAACTGAGGCAGAATGAGTGACAAGCGATTGCAGTGGTAATTGGTAATGAGTAGATAAGAGGATGTGCGTAGAGTATCGTGAGGTGCTGCCATGGTCACTTTGCATTCTGCAAGAGTCATTCTAGTAAGTGGCGATTGTGTTGCAAGATGTCAAGAGGAGGTCTCTGTCTGGAGGCGCAGGTCGTCATTGATGTGTGAGATTGTGCTGTGGGTATGCTTGTGGTGTGTTGGCTTTTCTGTTTGTTTTCCATTTCAGCTCTGTCCGTGTGACCCAGGTTCTCGCAATGGCATCCAAGTCAACGTGCATTGGTCGTGAAGGAAAAAAGGGTTGGATCCCTTTTTTGCCGGGGAGTGTCAATGGAGTTGAAGATTGAACGATCAATTCTTGGTTGTTTGCTTAAAATCAACTTCCCCAATTTTCGCGGAGGCATCAATACGACAGTCATCGTCTCATCGGTCGCTGTTCAGAAAGAAGAG